CTCCCAGGTACTGCTGCTGCTGCTCCCTGGGCTCCCAGGGCACCCAGAACCTCGGGAGGGCCTTTGTGGGGAGGTTTGGGGTGAAATCTGAAATCTGAAATCCTGCAGGTCTGAAATCTGAAATCTGAAATCCTGCAGGGTTGAAACCTGCAAGGGTGAAATCTGAAATCCTGCAGGGGTAAAATCCTGCAGGTCTGAAATCTGAAATCCTGCAGGTCTAAAATCTGAAATTGTGCAGGTGTAGAACCTGAAATCCTGCAGGTCTGAAATCTGAAATTGTGCAGGTGTAGAATCTGAAATCCTGCAGGTCTGAAATCTGAAGTCCTGCAGGGGTTAAATCTGAAATCCTGCAGGGTTGAAATCTGAAATCTTGCAGGTCTGAAATCTGAAATCCTGCATGGGTGAAATCTGAAATCCTGCAGGTCTGAAATTTAAAATCCTGCAGGGGTGAAATCTGAAATTGTGCAGGTGTAGAATCTGAAATCCTGTAGGGGTGAAATCTGAAATCCTGCAGATCTGAAATTCTGCAGGGGTTAAATCTGAAATCCTGCAGGTCTGAAATCTGAAATCCTGCAGGTCTGAAATCTGAAATTGTGCAGGGGTTAAATCTGAAATACTGCAGGGTTGAAATCTGAAATCCTGCAGGTGGGAAATCTGAAATCCTGCAAGGTTGAAATCTGAAATCTGAAATCCTGCAGGGTTGAAATCTGAAACCTGAAATCCTGCAGGGTTGAAATCTGAAATACTGCAGGTCTGAAATCTGAAATCCTGCAGGGTTGAAATCTGAAATCCTGCAGGTCTGAAATCTGAAATCTGAAATCCTGCAGGTCTAAAATCTTGCATGGGTGAAATCTGAAATCCTGCAGGGGTGAAATCTGAAATCCTGCAGATCTGAAATCTGAAATCCTGCCGATCTCAAATCCTGCAGGGGTGCAATCACACCTCCCCTGGCAGCGCTGAGCTCCCTGCATGCAGGGTTGGGAAATGCCCCTCTCCAGAGGAATTTCAGCTTTCTCAAACCCCTCTTTTTGCAGGAAACACAGAAAATACCCAATGTTTTATTGCCAAGCTGTGGCTGCCCCACCCCTGACCCACCCAGGTC